AAACAAACCAAAAACAAACAAAAACAAAAACAAAAACAAATACAAAAAAAACAAACAACAAAAACACCCTTCCCCTTAATATAAACAACCAAATAGAAAAAAACAAAAAAACAAAAAAACAAAAAAACAACCCGGGTCGTTTAATTGTGCTGTGGTGAGCACGACGCGGCGTGAGCTTGGCCGAAGTATAATTGTCTAGCTTAAATGTGATCTGTGCATCAGGGGCTCTTGTGGTCTAGTGGTTCGGTCTTCGCCTCTCATTCAGTAGGTCCCGGGTTCGAATCCTGACAGTAACGAAACATTTCCATCTCATAATTTTCTGCTTTCTTCTACTTCCCGGTTCTCTTGCCCTGTTCTGTGAAAAATGGTGAATTAATGATTATAGGTTTAACACCCCCTATCAATATTATATAAAACCTAACAGTGTCACCAGCTTATAGTTGTCATCTCCTCTCTCTTCCAAAATCATTGAAAGTAAAATTGAAATTTCTTGCCAATAGTATATGAAACACTTGCCAGAACAAGCAAATAATAATAATAATAATAATAAATAATAATAGCAAAAAAGCAATATAAAAAAATCCCCTAAGAGCATCCATGAGCAGAAGCAGGTGCAGACCTTGTGTGCAGTGCAATTGAGGAAAATTGCACAAAATATATCCAAGTTATTTAGAAAACAATACCATGACACATTTTCACTGTTCTGCAAGGACTACTGTAGTCCTTCCTGTCCTTGCTGTTCTACTAAAGAATAAGTCCGGAGAATGGAGAGTAATAATTGGGGAAAACATAGTAATAATAATAGATGATAGGATAGGTTTATTTATATCTCAACAGCAAGCTCTTGCCTATGCGCTTCACAATCTTTTCTACTCATATTACCCAAGCAGACTTGAGAGCATTCTGAGATTAATTCAGATGAAAAATTAATGCTGTTGACCACAAGACCCACCGACGCCACTGAATCCACTGAAGGTTAATAATAATAATAAGCAAAAATCTTCATTCACTTGAAGCGTCGTCTTGAGCCGCCACACAATTGTAGATGTACACAACTTAGGGGTCAGCCTACTCGGGCTGAGAGGAGGGATACAATATCCCAGTAGACTGTCGGAGATACTTGACAGATCGAAACAGAAAACAGCTGGGAGGCTTTCGTGGCCTTAAGGTTAAGGTCTCTTATTCTCTAGGTCCCGGGTTCGAATCCGGATAGCGACGGAAAATCTTCTTCTCTAAAATGCTCTCCTTTCACATCCTTCCTGCTCACTAACAATGTTCTGTCGTCTGCTTTCGTCTCCACTTTCTGCCCCCACTCCATCACCTCCTTGGCCGACTCTTTCTGCAGCCTTTCTACTGCAACTCCTTGGCTCCTTCTTACTGCTGTCTTTCAGCCACACCCCTAATCTTATGGTAGGAAA